TTTTGGGAACACTATCAAGCGAAAATTCCTCGGGAAAAAAAACTTCAGATGAGGAAGCACAAGCATAAAATACCTATGTTTCCCATCTTTCGGCAAAAAGCCGCAAAATCGCAAAATAAATAGGTTCCTAATACATGCATATGGTCATATTCTCGTCCGATTCTATTACTTTGTCTATACTCTCTCCGAAATTCCCTATTATTTATCATCAAAACATGGCTGGTTACTTAGTATTACTTGTTTAGACTTCCATATTCATAATCAGTAAAACATAAAAAAAAATTTTAAATGGTCATATACACGTAATTTAAGAAAACGATCCTTTTATATGTCATTTCAAAGATGCCGTCGAAGCTTGATCTTGAAAAATACCGGTATTACATGTATCATACCGCAGAGAAGGTTACGGTATTTCTTATAGTTAGCTGATTTAGATCTGTAAATAAGTTAATTGGCCGTATTTCACACCATTGTTAACGCACCTTTTTTTACACCGTATGATGGGAGTAACAAGTAAAACGCATGGAGAGAGAGAGAGAGAGAGAGAGAGAGAGAGAGAGAGAGAGAGAGAGAGAGAGAGCCTTCAATAAAAAAAGGAAGCATTAAAAAAGAAAGAAAAAGAAATAAAAATAAAGAGATCACAAACAAAAGAATTACAAAAGGAAGAAAATCCTTACTTTCTCTTCAATTTTCAGAATTAAATGTACAATTAAATGTAATTTTTCATCATATTACATTCAAATTAAAATAGAACAATTAAGCAACTTCTTCTAAACACAGTACTTTGTCAAGAATTTCTTTCTTTTACAGACAATGAATATGACATACTTACCGTAATTTTCTTCTGCTCTAAACAATAACTGTTGATTTCTTTTTATATTGAAGACTGAAGAAATTCCTCACCTCTGATTGGTCATTTCTGTGATGGGTATTGGCATTTCTCGATTATCTTATATCTTGTAAATGTTTCTGCAGTTTGTTCTCTCGATAGGCCTATAGGCGTTAATATAATGTACGTATGCATGTATAAAGAATTCTAGTATGAAACATTCAACGGGCATGAGTTAGATACCCGGTAGTACATGAAGAAAGGACAATGTGTAACCTGATCTAGATGGTTCTTGTGCGTACTAGAGGAGAAAATAAATTAAAGGTTCTAAAAGGGCCATTCATATACAAGGATATCTCCCCAAACCTGGGTTGAAATCTCGACCTGCGGAATCTGTCTCCTAACAGTGCAAGATCTGCTAGATTGTTGGACCAGCAAGCTAAAAACATGACTGCCACGTTAAGCAACCGCAACTTCTATAGCCGGAAAGACTGGAGAAGGTGCGATTTCTACGTTTAGAAGATTTAATATTGACGAGAAAATTGGGGCAGATTTAGATGGCTTAATAAAAGACTAGACAACAGGAAAAGATTCAGACAATTCATACAAGTACAAGATGATTGGGGACAGGTTAAAGTTCATGGCATTTATAGAATAGGAAAATTTAAGATTGCTCATTAATAGCAGTAAGATTCAAATGGATTATTTGTAAGAGAAAAATATAAGATCAGGACAGTTGGTTTATTAATTGACAAAAGGGATTGGACGAGGTTCAGATCAGATGGGATATCTTTGAAAATTGGGACAGGTTCCGATAAAACCTTATTCATAGAAATATTTTAATGGCTTAATTATAGATTAGAAAACGTTGACATGTTAAGAAGGCTTGCGAAAAGAATATTGGGGAAATTAAGATAATGTATTTGCATTTGTCTGTCCGTTTCCGTTCGTCTAGCTGTCAAACTCTCTGTCTGCATGTCTGTTTGTCATTCTTGCAAAGGCATTGTTCAATAAGATTATTATAAATACGTCATAAATGATCACCGGAAAGTAAAGTATACTCATTTTCCAAGCACCTGTGCCATTTTCTTATAAATTACAAGTTTTTAGCTAAGGAGAATTTAAATGCATATTTTTCATTTTTATACCTTTAAAAATTACACTATACGAAAAAAAGTCTAATATTTCTAATGTTTTGCTGATCGGGCATAAAAAATCGATGTTTGACCACTGAGTGAGATGTTGGACCGGTCGATGAAAAGTTGGACCGCTTACGTCACAGAATGGGCGGAGCTTTTAATCTCATTCCTTGGTGTTCAACAGTGACGGACCTGAGGATATATCATGGAAGACAACTTACAAAATACATGTATGTAAAAAAAATAATGAAGCTTTAATAAACATTTATTGGCTATGTTCTCGGGCAAAATGTGTTTTGTCGATCCTCGAACCAAACTTTCTGTCTTCGGCCTAACGGCCTCAGGCAAACAGTTTGGTTCTTAGGTCCGACAAAACTCGATCATGTTGCCCCCGAACTCCAATAAATGTATACTGTTATACCTTTAGAAATTTGTTTCTATACAAATCTGTACGAAAAATGTCTAACATTTCTAATTTTTTGCTGAGCGGGTAAAAAAATTCGATGTTTGACTGCTGAGCGAGAGGTTGGAATCGTCAATGAGATGTTGAACAGCTTACGTCACACAATGGGCGAACTGCAGTCAATAAATGTTTATATTATACTTTCATGTAAATTAGTTGAATCTGATTGGTCGAGAAACATTTGTTAAAAAACACTATTACCCGCTGAATAATGAAGCCACGCCCTTCAGCGTAGCAACAGTTAACATTGCTTGACGACAGGTGATATTCCAAAAAATAGCGACTGCGCAAAATTTATGCGCGCACGGTTCACTGTTATATGTATTTGTATAATTAGCATTCAGTATAATATAATAAATATTGCATGTAGTTGAGTGTAACATTGAAAATTTTCACCCCTCGAAAACCATTGTCAACCTCGGCTGCGTCTCGGTTGACAATGGTTTTTGGGGTAAAAATGTTCAATGTTGCACTCAACTACATGCAATATTTATATAATGCATCATGATATTGAATCATGTACTAATTATTCGTTCAGGTTTTCCCAAAAGTGATGTAAATTCGTGATAAATAAATTTTCTTCTGTAGTTTTGATTAATTTTTAACTAGTTAGCTATAGAAAACTAAAGTTTACAGATCAATCACTCTAAACCACTGCGCCGTGGGCGGCCGGGCGACTCTTGAAATAGTATATGATGTGTTTTGTCCCACATATGCCATACTCAGTTTGGTTCAATTTTATTATACAAGTAGTAGTATTCAACTCATACTCATAGCAAGTACATGTAAATGTAAATTTTATCAAAATCGGTCTATATGGAGAAATATCCAAAATTAATTTATCACTTAGTTTAAGTTATTCGAGGTATATATTATTTTGAAACGTTATATTTGGTTAAATCGGTAACGGATGATTCAGATATCACAATTGTAAAATGGCATTCGGTTTGTACGGTCTCATCTGATGGATCGGTGTCCACGTTCCGCGGCGGGATTCGAATCCACGATGTGACCTTGGATGAGCTCGTTAGTCCGTGATACTAGAGCAAGTAGCAGATTCAGCAGGATAGCCATTAGGAATGGGTGTCAGGGGTCCGGACTCCTCCCCCCTCTGGAATTTTAAAGTATTCAAATTCATGTAGTAAAATTCCCCTCAATGAAATTAATTGACCTCATGACCTCCCCGGAAAATATGGATCCCTTATAAAGTATATAATATATAAAAGTAAATATGTGAGAGAAAACGGCTTATTCGCGAGAAGTGCCCGACCCAATTCGAATAATATAGTATAGTCATTAAACTTTTTAGATCGATGTTTTTGAGTCCCCCCACCCCCAGGCGATAAATTTATAATAGTGCATATTATTATTCTTAAATTGTCATTTTGTGTTATTTTACTATTTCATTTTTGTCAGTGTGTGAATGTTGAATTTTTTTTTTTTGGTTCAAAAATTTTAATCTCATCATTCCCTCTGCGTCACATTCGTCTCCGAAATATCATATCTTTATTGGTAAGTGTTAATAATTCACTATCTTTAGAAAATTGGTCTGCAACGTCATAGTTAAACTTTCCCCTCGAATATTGCTGTAAATCGAAAATTATTGAAACATTGTTGAATCCTGCGTTTATCAAATTAGCGGATATGATCAATCTGTATAAAATTGAAATTCCAAAACAATGTTGTAAAAGGTCATATCTGGGACTGTTTGACTTAGATAAACGTGTAAATCAATTATTCCATTCATTTACAATTTAGCATTTTATTGTTTTTTTTCTAATCTATGACAGCTATGTTATGTCCATCATGAGTCGTAATTTCACACGATTTTTCACTCCTTCAATTTTCGTTTTTTTTTTTTAGATCAACAAATTTCGGTATCGGACATTTGTTTGAGTAACTAACCAGAAAGCAAAGATAGAAAAACGTTGTGAGACACATCCAGGCTGATTCAGCAACACTTAACTGCATACGGAAGGCTACAGTCATAGTAAAAACTTGGAGGACTGACTAAATTAAAAGTACAACAGTGACGTAGCATCGTTTTTGAAAGGGTGCATGAGCAAAGAAAAAATCACCCCCCCCCCCCAAAAAAAAAGGAAAACAATTTTTTATTTGAAAAACATGCTATGTACAGTATACTACATTACCCAATTTTACTATACTGCAACTATATATACAAGTGCGTGTGTATGTGTGGGAGGAGGAGGGGGCTTTCAATGAACATTTTCTGTAATAAATGTTATGTCTGGAAAATGTCCGATGATTATGGACCTGGACCCAGGATCATGAAACAGACGTAGACTTTTAAAAGACAAATTTTTAATCGCCCGAAAAATGTTCATTAATTATTGAACAAATCTCTAATTTTGCAGAGAACAACATTTTGTAAAGCAATATTTATCTAATTCATTCATTTTATCTTTAAAAGAAATCATATCCATGAATATTTAATCAGAACCCATTTCAAAACAGGGATTTCGATCGGCGAAACATAAATGCCCGACTGTTGAAAGAATCGAAAAAACTGAGTATGCACTGCCTAAATCTTCCAAACCGGAAATTATTTCAGACGATTCGATGCAAATCACATGACGAGGAGGCGCACAGCAATTTTACAAGGATAGGATGTTTTAGATCTTGTGACACTGCTGAAGTCGTCAATGATAATGCCAGGCCCGGAAGAAGATGGAGTTCGGAGCACGGGGGGTCAGGTTGACGGTAAGCATAGGCGGAAAGGAAGGGGATGCACACGGCTGTGCAATACCCAGTGGCGGATCTATCAAGTTCAGACATTCTTAATCTTATGGCTTGCACTCTAAAATAATATCCTATTTTTGGTCATTCAAATGATACTGTCTGCTGAAAATTGCACAGTAGTATCAAATGATCCAATGTGATGGAATATAGCTTATCGAAATTTTGTACTCATTAATTTAAATGGCCCTGAATAACTTTGTTAAGGGTTGCACACTCTGATTTGTTTATAAGTGTTCTTAGATAAGCACCATTTTCATATGGAATATAGAATAAAAATGTTTATTTGGATGGTAACTGTTGCAGAGTACTGTCGGAGTTTGATTTCAGGATGGTGTACATTTTGAATTTGTAGTTTATTTTTAAAATGTCAACGTACATTCCTAACTCATCACCAGGTCGGGATTTGGGTGAGCAAGACAAAAGCCAGGTCATCCAAAATCATTGTGAGTGGAAATTACGAGGCGACATTGGTGAATGTTGAAAAGTCAACAGAGATAATTAAACTTTTTCTCTCTAGACACTCTGTGCAATTCCAGTATGCCTCTACAAACTAACGTTTGTCCACATGTATGGTTGTCCGGTAGCAGTGAAAAATTTTCACAGAAAAGTTGATATTGCCAGGCACTTGTCTGATTAAACAAGTGATTTTTCTGTGATTTTTTTTACAATTTGAAATAATAATAATGATAAAAAATTGTTGTCAGCTTTTTATTTGCATTTCAAAATTAAAAGCATACAGAAATAAATTGATAATGTGACAATTCCGGAATCTAAAGGTACGACCATGCGGAGTCCTCAGTTAGTCATCGTTGACATCACGTGACTTTCATAAGGTATATATACTGAGACCCTGCAGTCATCTGTTATTGTTATTCAGATGCAGCAGAGGAGAGAAGACGATTGACAGTGTTCTAAGACTGTAGTAAATAAAGTTTGCGGTTATTAATTCCTCGCCTTTGTTCGCTCATTTTGAGAGGAAATTTGGAAGACCATTTGAGGTTTGCCAAACCAGTTATAAGGCCTGCCACGAAGAGGTTAACCTCAAGCAAAGAGGCTAGCCATAACAGTTCATTTGTCTGCATTGGCCGACCAGTCTGTCCAGGCTGCTATACTCATTGTCTGTCCTGAATAAGGCATCCTACAGTGAGTGTAGTGGTTGAAGGGCTATCACATAAACTGTCTGTCCTGAATAAGGCATCCTACAGTATATGCGGTAGTCCGAGGGCGACTGGGCTTTCGTTTTAGTATTAAGTTAGGTCTACCAGATAATTTATTGTTGCTTGCCTCCGATTGTTTAATTGATTTTACCATTTGATTATTGTTAACCTAGATAAGGTTAGGACATATTTGTATATTTCGGCAGTCAACTAAGATCATACCAATTATTTTAAATCAGTTTATGTTGAACACCCCAAACCCTGGAAATGACCAGGTACGATCCCAGTGATTAATTGTAAATACGTTACAAAATTTGGTGGCAGCGTCGGGATTTGTTGTTGCATTCAATCAATAAAGTTTGTAATTATATATTTTTGTCTTGGTTGATTTAAGTAGAGCTCGTAGACCACCCATCTGGTTACATGATTATGAGACTGACATGTAAGATAATTGATTCTACCAATTTAAGTTGTACATTGTTTTATATTTAGTGGTTTAAAAAAAAAAAGAAGAAGAAAGGAATTCTTTGAATATAAGTTTAAAACTGTTATCTGTTTAAACCTTTAACCTAATTAAGAATCATTCAGTTTTAAAGTTGTACATGCGGGGCGCATGTCATCGGAGGCATGGGTAGTGTGACAATTCCGGAATCTAAAGGTACAACCATGCGGAGTCCTCAATTAGTCACCGTTGACATCACGTGACTTTCATAAGGTATATATACTGAGACTCTGCAGTCATCTGTTGTTGTTATTCGGATGCAGCCAAGGAGAGAAGACGATTGACAGTGTTCTAAGACTGTAGTAAATAAAGTTTGCGGTTATTAATTCCTCGCCTGTGTTCGCTCAGTTTGAGAGGAAATTTGGAAGGCCATTTGAGGTTTGCCAAACCAGTTATAAGGCCTGCCACGAAGAGGTTAACCTCAAGCAAAGAGGCTAGCCATAACAGTTCATTTGTCTGCATTGGCCGACCAGTCTGTCCAGGCCGCTATACTCATTGTCCGTCCTGAATAAGGCATCCTACAGTATATGCGGTAGTCCGAGGGCGACTGGGCTTTCGTTTTAGTATTAAGTTAGGTCTACCAGATAATTTATTGTTGCTTGCCTCCGATTGTTTAATTGATTTTACCATTTGATTATTGTTAACCTAGATAAGGTTAGGACATATTTGTATATTTCGGCAGTCCACTAAGATCATACCAATTATTTTAAATCAGTTTATGTTGAACACCCCAAACCCTGGAAATGACCAGGTACGATCCCAGTGATTAATTGTAAATATGTTACAATAACTTCACTCTTGATCATAGCAATGCTGATCCCAGTCATCAAACCTGATTGAGATGGAAGTTTACTTTGTAGACTGTATATACTTTTGAAATTGAATTTGTTGAATGAATGATGAATCTAACAATTTTTTGATTTTTTGTATGGGTAGGAAAGGTGTAATAAAAGAAGAAACGTAATAAAAAATTAAGGAAGAAGGGTAATAGATATTAGAAACATTTGTCTTTGTTGCTGTTTTCACATCATACTAAATATAGCATTTACTGCTACTTAGGACAGATGATACAATTTTAGATATATTGTGGTAGTTTCATTATTTGAAATATGTGTCAAAAAATCATAAAGCAGGGTTTGAGACTCAGTGTCTTTTTGATATAGGATGATTTTCAAGTAAACTTCAGAATCTCCTACTGAATGGACAAGAAGAAATGTTCATCTAGAGCCCTGCATTGCTAATTTACAGCCAAATCCTTCATACACTAGTCTTCATATTTAATGTAGAGGGTAGAAATGTACCATAATACAAAAACAGGAAGCCTTAGGGCAATGGCTTAGGTTGTAAATGTCAACAAGTATGAATTATGTTTTGTTAGACATGTATCATAAATAGTTCACTTAATATTTGTCCTATCAGGAATTTAGCATCTGTTTCATAATCTCAACTAAGCCAAAGACTCATTGACAATCAAAACTTAAATCAGAGGTGCACAAAAGCAACGTGCATTAAAGATTCTGTGAAAATCTCAGTATTTTTTTTTATTATGTGGTAAAAGAGAAGTTATGAATATGAGAAAGGTATCCCAGTATTATAGAACATTTAGAAAGAAGGCAGCTTAGAGTGTCCATATTTTGATATGGAAAACTCCAAATATGTTTCAGATTGAAATGAAAAAGGAGGTGCAGAGTTTTGTGTTAAACTGTCAATTTTCAGAATACTATACAGAGCTTATATCTGTCTTATGAAAAATAGATTAGAAGTTAATTTTCTTCATACAGACATGACGATGGCCCTGATTGATTCAGCCAATGACAGGACTGAGGAGGGACAAGAACAGATTTCCCAGGCGCTGTTTGACCTTGGAAAACACAAACCTGCCCTGGTTCTCAGCTGCTGCTACTCGTACCTGAAAAAACACACCAAGGTATGGCTACATAGATGTAGTGTTTTATGCTGCTGATTTTGAAAGATGTAAATCAAAATGCGTGTGATGACCACTGCAATAAACAATATAAATCAGCTGCTATAATTAAAGACAAAGTTTGTTGAAGCAGGTCTATTTCCAGGTAACTGTAAGTCCTTATTAAAACCATCGTAGCAAGTCACAGGTTTTGTGTCCACTCAAACCCTGTTTGTGGAAATAGAACAGACACAAAACCTGTGGATTGAGAGACGATGCATTTCCACACGATGATGTCTGTCCCACATAGCGCTTTCACCACAACATTTCAAATCAAATTTTACTATTTCCAAATGGAAGTAGAATGGACACAAAACCTGTGTCTTTTTATGATGAATTAAATCAAAATTTCATGGATATTGATCTCAGACTGTATGCTAACGAGAAAAAAATTTCTGAGGTCTGCTAGATAACAATTGTCAAGGTGAGCTTTGTAATCTTTGATTACCTATATTTTACTTTATGTCTAAAATGAAAAGCTTTCATGCAGAATCTATTTGTTTTTCTATTGCTACACCCCTTCTTTTTTGTCTTATAGCTTGCTTAATAACACTACACCCCCATATTAATTTTTTATAGCTTGCCCAAGAACACCGAGTGATCTTGCTACAGTGTATGGAGAGGATTGTAAAAGAAACTCTGGATCAGATAGGCACGGGACTCGCCACTGATCTCATTAAACTCGGGGCCCAGGAAATGACATGCTCAAAGGTTTGTATCATATAGACACGGGACTCGCCACTGATCTCATTAAACTCAGTGCCCAGGAAATGACATGCTCAAAGGTTTGTATCATATAGACACGGGACTCGCCACGGATCTCATCAACCTTGGGGCCCTGGAAATGACCTGCTCAAAGGTTTGTCTCAGTTAAACAGGTTTAATGAAAACTAAAATAAAGTAACAAAAAATTCATGATTAACATCGCAATTAAGGCTCTTAGCCATCAGATATATGCCATTTTGTTCTGCTGATATTAGTCTATATAGGGACCTATGGGAGGTAGACACTGAAGGGTGTGTGCAAGGCTCTTTTGAAAGTGGAGAGGGACAAGAGTACCTCTGTGCCACACTAAACATTTCTTATATTTACATTTTACACATTTAAAAGACATTTATACACATTTATGCAATTTCACCTTTAAATTAGCAGATTAACATGTTTAAAAGTACATTTTTATTAATGTCTCTGTAGGCATATTTTATAAAGTGCGCTAGCGTGCTTCATGAACAATATGCCTACGTGCAAGCCTGTGTATTTACACACCAATAATTCACACTAAACTTAGAAGCATTCCTTATATTATTTTATATTTTACATGACTAAAAGCACCAACTGCCCTATATTGTTATATTTTTATGTTCCCCAAACGAAGTTTGGGAACATATTGTTTTTACTCTGTTTCTTATTATTATTAAGGTCTTCCGTCTTCAGCGGAAGACCTTCTTGTTATTCTTAGGTTTCTTTTTCACTTTTATTATTATTATTCTTTTTTTTCTTACCGATTTTGTGCACGCGATTTCTCAAAAACGGCTCGATGGATTTCCATGAAACTTTCAGGACTTATGTAACATTACTTGAACCTCATGCATTTTTTTCCGATTTGATGACGTCACTTCCGGTTTGGAGATATTGTCGATTTTATGATTTTTGAAGGGTCAGGTTGTCTCCAGACTTTCTCAATAATGGCTCAAGATAGAAACATGAAACTTTCAGGTAAGATAGACCAAAGTCTATAGATATGTATAAGGTATTTCATTTTTATCGGAAGTGCCGCACGTCGGCGCACGCTATGGCCGAAAATTGTCGTATCGCGAATTTCAAAATTTTAAAGATCTTTTCTACGATATCTTTTTACCTGGAAATATTTTGTTAAAACACATAGAACAAAAGAAATGTAGAATTTCAAGATCTTTCAAATCATATCTTGTAAAAAGGGCTGTCCCCTAAAATTAAGGGCCTAGAGGGGCCAAAAGTTTTTCCTTTATATCTCAAAAAGTATTGAGAATTTGTAATATGTCAAAGAAGCAAAGTTGTTCAAAATGTCAAGTTCAATCTATTGATGTCATTAAAATGCGTCCGACGTCGTCACTTCCGGCCAAACCGGAAGTAGTCGAAAACGCGTATTTTTGCCGTTCTAAACCCGTTTTTGGGTAACATATGTCTCTGGGAGCATAAAAAAAAATTTTCGTCCGTCGTCGTCACTTCCGGTCAAACCGGAAGTAGCAAAAATGGCTTATTTTAGCATAAATTAACATAAATTAAGGTGATTTATACATTGTTGGGCGTTATTACTCATTTTTGTAAAAAATGAAAGTTACTTCCATTTACTTCTGGTCAAACAGGACGGAAGACCTACTCGTTGCTTTGCAACGAGCTTTGCTCTAGTTATTATTATTTTTCTTCTCGGGAAAATTTTGTCCGCGAATGATCTTGTAAACTACACATCCGATTTAGGTGAAATGTTTTTAGGGTCAGTAGACATGTTATGTAGATTTGCGGAATCAAGGTCATTTTGCGCGCACGTGCTTGCAAGAGCGCGCACGTGCAAGACTTGAAATGACCAATATATAATGGATAAAACCGTAACTTTTCTATTCTTTAACAAAATATTTTGAAACTCATAATGTAAGGATATATTAGTAGTATGCACAAGATGACATGGTCAAAATAGCAAGATTGCACGCGCTTGCACGTGCGCTTTGCTCTGATTGGCTGAAACTAAAGTCTCTATATCTTTCTTGTTTTTTGATAAAATCATTTGAAATTTTGAACATAGTTATACATTAGGGAGATCTACAGCCTGTAATATAAGAATTGTCATGAAAGCATGTGCATGCACGTGTGCTTGCAAGAGCTCGCACGTGCAACATGAGAAATGTCCAACATAATTGATACAGACGTAACTATTTTAATTACTGATGAAATGCTTTGAAACTCATATTATAAGTATATATTAGAAGCAAAGACAAGATGAAATGGTCAAAAAAGCAAGATCTCACGCGCATGCACGTGCGCTTCGCTCTGATTGGCTGAAACTAAAGTCTCAATATCTTTCTTGTTTTTTGACGAAATCCTTTGAAATTTTAAACAAAGGCATGTATTAGGATATCCTACAATAAAATATATAGCAATTATCATGAAAAAGCGTGCATGCATATGCGCTGCAATCTGATTGGCTTATGCTTTAAATAGCTATAACTCCCTTGGTTTTCAACCAAACAGGATGGGATTTGGAACATAGATAGATATAATAGACTTCTACAAGATGGTATGGTCATCATGCACATGCATACACGTGCGTGTACGTGCACTGCAATCTGATTGGCTGAAACTTTAAACAGCTATAACTCCCTTGGTTTTCAACCAAACGGGGTGGGATTTAGAACATAGATAGATGTAATGGACTTCTACAAGAAGGTATGGTCATCATGCTCATGTATGCACGTGCTTCCACGTGAAATGAGTAAAATCAAAAATACAGTTTAATGAGAGTATTTTTTTAATACTTTTGGATTAATTACTTTAATATTTAGTATATTAAAATATTAAGATTGTATAGACAAGATGATATGGTCATTACGCACATGCATTCACATGCGCACGCGTGGAATTCTATAATTTGAATGAACTTGGTACTTTCTCCTGGGTAAATGTTGTTAAAGCCTCAAATGCATAGAGTTTGTCTTATTTAATGAAGCTTACAGGGAATGCGGCACCAAAAGGAAGTTGGGGAGCGTTTGGGGAACATCTGTAACGGTCCCCGTTACAATTAGCACTAGTTACTAACGTCTCTGTAGCCTTATTGTGAGATCACGTCAGCACAAGTTGCTCAGTGTATATTTCTTCGCGCGAGTATACATGAAAATGGTATTAAATCCATTTCACAGTTGGCTTACTTAAAAAACCCCACAGCAAATATAAATTTATTAAAATGGAATTCAAATCAATTTCACAGATCAGGCTTAATTAGTAGAGAAACACAGCAAATGTACTTGGTAGATGAAAATGAGAATTTAATTGGCAAACAATTGACAACATCCCACATCCAATTTACTGCATGTAATTAGCTCACCTGAGCCAAAGGCTCAAGTGAGCTTTTCTGATCACAATTTGTCCGTTGTCTGTCGTCGTCGTCGTTGTTGTCGTTGTCGTCGTCGTCGTTGTAAACTTTTCACATTTTCGACTTCTTCTCAAGAACCGCTGGGCCGATTTCAACCAAACTTGCCACAAAGCATCCTTGGGTGAAGGGGATTCAAGTTTCTTCAAATGAGGGGCCAGGCCCTCATTCAAGGGGAGATAATTGGGAATTAATGAAAATTTGATGGTATGTTTTAAAAATCTTCTTCTCAAGAACCACTGAGCCAGGAAAGATGAAACTTATGGGGAAACATCCTCAGGTAGTGTAGATTCAAGTTTGTTCAAATCATGACCCCCGGGGGTAGGGCGGGGCCACAATGGCCGACCAAAGTTTTACATAGAAATATATAGGAAAATTCTTTAAAAATCTTCTTCTCAAGAATCACACAGCCATTATTGATCATATTTATATGCAAGCATCCTCAGATAGTGTAGATTCAAGTTTGTTCAAATCATGACCCCCGGGGGTAGGGCGGGGCCACAATGGCTTACCAAAGTTTTACATAGAAATATATAGGAAATTTCTTTAAAAATCTTCTTCTCAAGAATAACAAAGCCATAATTGGTCATATTTATATGAAAGCATCCTCAGGTAGTGTAGATTAAAGTTTGTTCAAATCATGACCCCCGGGGGTAGGGCGGGGCCACAATGGCCGACCAAAGTTTTACATAGAAATATATAGGAAATTTCTTTAAAAATCTTCTTCTCAAGAATAACAAAGCCATAATTGATCATATTTATATGAAAGCATCCTCAGGTAGTGTAGATTCAAGTTTGTTCAAATCATGACCCCCGGGGGTAGGGCGGGGCCACAATGGCCGACCAAAGTTTTACATAGAAATATATAAGAAATTTCTTTAAAAATCTTCTTCTCAAGAATAACAAAGCCATAATTGGTCATATTTATATGAAAGCATCCTCAGGTAGTGTAGATTCAAGTTTGTTCAAATCATGACCCCCGGGGGTAGGGCGGGGCCACAATGGCCGACCAAAGTTTTACATAGAAATATATAGGAAATTTCTTTAAAAATCTTCTTCTCAAGAATCACAAAGCCCTAATTGATCATATTTATATGAAAGCATCCTCAGGTAGTGTAGATTCAAGTTTGTTCAAATCATAACCCCGGGGGTAGGGCGGGGCCACAATGGCCGACCAAAGTTTTTCATAGACATATATAGGAAAATTCTTTAATAATCATCTTATCAAGAATAGGAAAGCCAGGATTGGTATTGGGACTACTTTTGGATTCAAATTATTAAATAATAAACCAATTTCTACTTTTTCCTAGCCACAGTGCTCAGGTGAGCAATGTGGCCCATGGGCCTCTTGTTACAAGACTTAGTGTTTATTTTCTAGAACAAAAAAATTAGTCAGACAGGGATTGTCCTTTCTGGTCTTCCCCCTCTGTGTGGACTAGCTCAAATTACACTGAATTTTGTTCGCAAATGTGCTGACTTCGAAAAACAAACACGCGGACAAAGAAAATACAAGATGTCCATTGCTAAAAAAGATATACAGTTAAGTAGTAGTTACCCCATATCATACTGTTGGTTATGTGTAGATACCCGA